TCTGTCACAGGCAGTTTGGGATTTTCCTGTCACTGTGTCACAGGGACAGGGCTGTTCCTGTCCCACTGTCACGGGGAGTTTGGGGTGTTCCTGTCATGGGGACAGGGCTGTTCCTGTCACAGGAGCTGGGATGTTCCTGTCCCACTGTCACAGGGAGCTGGAGTGTTCCTGTTTCAGGGACAGGGGTGTTCCTGTCACACTGTCCCAGGAGCTGGGCTGTTCTTGTCACCCTGTCACAGAGAGTTTGGGGTGTTTCTGTCACACTGTCACAGGAGCTGGGATGTTCCTGTCACACCATCCCAGGGAGTTTGGGGTATTTCTGTCACAGGGAGTTTGGGATGTTCCTGTCACCGTGTCACAGGGACAGGGCTGTTCCTGTCACAGGAGCTGGGATGTTCCTGTCACCCTGTCACAGGGAGTTTGGGATGATCATGCCATAGGGAGTTTGGGGTGTTCCTGTCACAGGACCTGGGGTGTTCTGTCACATTGTCACAGGAACTGGGCTGTTCCTGTCACAGGGAGTTTGGGATGTTCCTGTCACCCTGGCACAGGGACAGGGCTGTTCCTGTCACATTGTCACAGGGCATTTGGGATGATCATGCCATAGGGAGTTTGGGATGTTCCTGTCACCCTGTCCCAGGGAGTTTGGGGTATTTCTGTTACGGGGAGTTTGCAATGTTCCTGTCACTGTGTCACAGGGACAAGGGTGTCCTGTCCCAGGGACAGGGCTGTTCCTGTCACCCTGTCCCAGGGAGCTGGGCTGTTCCTGTCACGGGGACAGGGCTGTTCCTCCAATCCCACACTGTCCCAGGGACAGGGCTGTTCCTGTCACAGTGTCACAGGGAGCTGTCTGTTCCTGACACAGGAGCTGGGCTGTCCTGTCCCAGGGAGCTGTCTGTTCCTGTCACAGGAGCTGTCACCCTCTCCCAGGAGCTGGGCTGTTCCTGCTGTGCGGATCCACATCTCTGCCCTCCTTGGAGCTCCTGGCACGTTTCAGGCCCTGGATGGGAGCCTGTACAATTCCCTTGGTTCTCTCCCAGCAGCCCTTCCCAGCTGATATCTGAAACAAGCTTCCATGGCATCTTCTCAATATCCCAATGTTTGCTGGTGTTCAAATTCTCCTCATCATCCTGGGACTGAGGGAATTTATCTTCATGTCCTCAGAACTCACTTCTCATTCCTGTGGCTTTTGAACTCTGAGATCTGACTCGTGTCCAGATTTTTCTCTTTTCCCTTGACTTCTCCTCTGGGTTTTTTTGGCACCGGGTCCAGTTGGCATCCCGAGGTGATGAGGGGATAAAAGCAGCAAGGCCAGAAGCCTCGGGAGGGATTTGGGTGATGGTTTTTGAACATTTCAGGGCGTGGGATGTGTTACAGGCTGGGTTTGTAGCTGTGAGCTTGGCTCTGTGTCCTGCTGTGGGAACAAGGGCTCCTTCCAGGTGAACCCCTGGAATCAGCAATGTTTCAAGCCTTTATCCATTAATTGCTTGGAGTTTTTGTAGATTTAACTGATGAAAAGTGTGCTGGGAGAGAATGTGGGTGCAGAGAGATTGGCCTGGACAGGGTGGACTAAAAAATGTTCTTCCAAAATGGTCTTCCCAAAAAGTGCTGGATGTGTGGTTGAATTCCTGGAGGCTTTTGATTGAATTCCTGGGGGCTTTCTGCAGGGATAGAAATCCACTGAAAGGGGTGGCTGGCAATTCTGGACACAAATGCCAGCAGAAACCTCTGGAGATCACCCTAATTGTGTGGGAATCTTTCTCCAAGTTCTTGGTGCTCCTTTCCTGGTGTTTCCTGGAGCTGTGCTCGCTCTCTGAGGACCTGGAGCGTTTCTCATTCCTGGAATTCCTTGGAATCCCTGTAGGATCCATCAGCAGAACCTGGATGCAGGAGAGGACGTCCCACCAGCACAGCTGGGTTCCTTCAGGATTGTGAGTTCCAGACATGCCTGGATGTGAGCCTGCTGATGAATTCCTGCCGCGTTTGGGACAGAGTTCATTGGGATTGGCCTGTGAGATTTTCGCTTTACGGAAAAAATTCAGCGTGAGCTGAGGGAGCAGAGCCTGGATTCACTGCCAGACACATCAGCAGGAGGGATGGAGGAGCTTTCTGTGGGAATGTGGTCTGGACACTGCTCCAGAGGGGTCCAGTCCCCTCTGCTGGGACAGTCTGTGGGACAGTCTGCCTCAGATTGCTGCATTTCCCAGCTCCTGCAATCGCTGCTTCCTTTCCTGAGGGCTTTCTGGAGATGGAAAAAGCTTGCAGGGTGGAAATGTTCTCTGCACCAGCTCCATGCAGCTCTCCCAGGAGTCCTCTCAGCTCTTTTGTTGGTGGCATCCCAAGATTTCACTTTTCTGGGCATCTTTTCCTTGCTGAGAGGGCGAGGGCAGATGGTTCACCCCAGCTGTGGTAGTAACTGGAACTCACCTCATTTCAAGGAAGGAGACCTTTCCCAGCTTCATTCCTGCTGTTTGCAGAGCTTTCCCCTGTGTTGATGTTGCTGAAATCCACTTTATTTTCAGCCTGTCCTCAGTCATGGACTCAGGGAATGGTTTGGGTGGGAAGGGACCTTAAAGATTCCAACCCAAACCATGGCAGGGACACCTCCCAATGTCCAGCCTGGCCTTGGACATTCCAGGGATTCAGGGGCAGCCCCAGCTGCTCTGGGGATTTGTGCCAGGGTCTCACCACGCTCACAGGGAGGAATTTCTGGTATTGTGTTGGTAAACACTGTGGTTGTTCCCAAACCTTTCATCCCAATGTTTCTCCCTTTCATGAACTAATTCACTCACTGATTTTTTTGTAGGAATTTTAAATCTTTGCCACAACAAGGACAATATTCAGATATGGCCCTGTGTGGCTCATGAATATTTTTTGAATTTGGCAACACCAGGATTGAGTCTGAGTGTGGGAAACTCAGCTTTAATTTACAGTTGGCATTAACTCAGGGAGCTGAGGAGCGTCCAGGATCAGCCTGGGAGAGCTGGTTTTTATTAAGCAGGACTTGATTTAGTCCAAAGTAAAACCATTTGTGCTTAATCTGATCCATGAAGCTTCTGTGAGTGTGAAAATCCAGACAATGAAACATTTTCTGGGCCATCAGTGCACACAGCAGGGCCGTGCAGGGCTTTGGGAACCTGGAACAGTCATCCAGGGATACATTTCCTGAGGAATGAGTACCACAGCAGGAAGCTTTAAAGTTTGAGTGCTATGAAAAGATCTGGTGACAAATGTCCCTCAGGCACGACCCTTCCTTGGGAGGCTCCTCACCACAGACCTGGAGTGGTGCTGCTTTTCCAGAGATTCCATTGGGTTTCAGCAGGAAAATCACAGCACTGGGGGCATTTCTGTTCCCATCTGCCCTCTGGGAGCTGCTCCTGGGTGGGTGCAGCGGGTAAAATTCCTTGCTGTGGAGTTTTAGGGCAGAGCAGCTTCTGCTGAACCCAGAAAATTCCAGAGCCAAAACAAACGGATTAAACTTTTCCCTCCCCCTGTGAGAACGAGGGGAAGGAGGTTCTTGTGTCCAGACCCTCTTGGAGCTGCCACTGTGGGAAAAGTCTGCCCAATCTGGGAGTTGTTGTACTTGAGGAATTGCCATGAATCCTGAGGGGCCTCCTGAGGGATCCCAGACTGGGATCTCCTCACCAAAACTGCCAGAGTGGAGTTGGCGCTTTGGGATGCAGGAGCCTCACCCAGCCCGTGGTGACACCCAGCAGATTTCAGAGGTGGTCACATAAATTCAGGGCTCTGAGGTGGGAATTCTTAGTTCCTGGTGGTTTTTGGGAATTCCTGGATTTGGAACATCTCAGCGTGTGCCCAGGGTCTGTGGAGTTCCTGCAATGCTGGGCGATCTTGGTGCCATGAAAGCAGGAAAGCTTCTCCATCCAAAGGGGAAAAAGGGGAATTGCAGTTCCCTGCAGCTGGAACATTCCTGCTGTGATTGGAGGATCTTTATGTGAAATATTCCCTGTCCCTTCCCTCAAATGGGAGCAGCCTCAGTGCTGCAGAGCCAGGGTTCAGCTGGGAACAAACCTTTGGTTTTCTCCCGCTTCCCTTGGAATTCCTACCCACAGCACTGATGAAAGGGAATTGCTGTAGGATGTTATTCCCAATCCATTAACCCTGATTTACAGCAGAATTCCTTATCCAGCTTCAGTGCTGGAACACCTCCACTGATTGTCTGAACTGAGCCTGGCTTGGAATGAAGATTTCCTGCTTTTCCCTTTGTGCTCCCTTCTTCCCACTTGCCTTTCCCTTTGTATTCCCTTCTTCCCCATTTGCCTTTCCCTTTTCTGTTCCCTTCTTTCCCACTTGTCTTTCTTTTTGTATTCCTTTCTTTCCCACTTGTCCTTCCCCTTGTGTTCCCCTCTTTCCCACTTGCCTTTTCCTTTGTATTCCCATCTTTCCCACTTGTCTCCCTTTGTGTTTTCCTCTTTCCCACTTGCCTTTCCCTTTTCTGTTCCCTTCTTTCCCACTTGCCTTTCCCTTTGTGTTCCCTTTTCCCCATTTTCCTTTCCCTTTGTGTTCCCTTTTCCCCATTTTCCTTTCCCTTTGTGTTCCCTTCCTCCCCAAGCACTTTGATTCTCCCTGTTGTTCTTTCCCCCCATCTCTCCCCAGACTCAGGAGTTTTTTGGTCCTGCAAGTCAGATTAACCTGGGATTGCCAGGATTTCCATGGGAGCTGAGGGAGGGGAGAATGGAATTCATTGGAGCAGTGGATTTATTTCAACCATGTCCCAGTGCTCCCCCAAATCTGAGCTTGCTCTGTGCAGGAGGGGATGGAAAATGGAAAACTCTGAGGGTTCACCCCAAGGTTCCTCAGGGCAGGGGCGGGTGGGGAATTGGCTTTGCCAGCGTCACTGTGGTTACTCAGATGTGTCAGGACACTCAAATTCCTCTTGGGGCTCGGGATAATTTGAATATTTGGGTCAGTGGGCTCTGAGTGCATTCCCTGGGTTTTGTTTCCTGGTTTGGATGTTTTTCCTTGACCTGCTGCACCAGGATCGAGAGCAAACACGAAGTCACAATCTTAGGAGGACTCAACGAATTTGTTGTGAAGTTTTATGGACCACAAGGAAGTAAGTTCTTGTCCCTGCCCTTCCAGGAATGCAATCACTGGCTTGGGGAATAGGGAAATGCCGTTCCAGATGAGCAAACCTGAGGGGGATGGAGAGAAATCCACGTTCTGAGGGTGGGAGCGTGGCCATGGATAGACCCCATCCCTGGGAGCTCTGGAAAGCTCCTTCAGCACCCTGAGCTTTCCTAGGCCTGGGAATGTCCATGGAGTTTGTCATTCAAATGGCTTTTCCACCCTAATTTAGCCCCATCTCCCAAGGCAAGGGGATTATCCCTCAGTTTTAATCAGGCTCTGGTGTCTTTGTGCTGAGATCTTCCCCAGGATCTGTTCAAATAGCGAGGGGCAGAGAGGAAAAAGGCTTTGAAATCTCCCCCCAGTGAGCTGTGGGTTGTTCCAGAGATAATGTTCCTGAATTCTCTGGTTCTGTTTGTGCTCTCTCAGCTGTGCAATATCTAATTGCTGCTTTCCCCCCTTGCAGCACCCTATGAAGGCGGAGTATGGAAAGTTAGAGTCGACCTTCCTGACAAATACCCCTTCAAGTCCCCATCTATAGGTAACAAATGCTCGTTTGCATCAAAATCTGGGATTTGGGCCTGAGCTTTGCAGGTGGAGTGGTACCAGTGCAATACAAGGATTTTTATGGGATTTCAGATCCCCAGAAAAGAGGAATTTTGGGCTTTGGAAGGAGGAGGAGGAGCTGGGAGTGGGATTTGGCTGCATATTTGTGTGTTGATCAATTCAATCTCTGTTCCATGTGGGGTTTTTTAATAATTAACTCCACTTACTGTGGCATTAATTATTAAAAAAATTAAATTTAAAAATTTTAATTTAAATTTATTAAATTATCACATTTAAAATTTATTGAATTTAAATTTATTAAATTCTTACATTTAAATTTTTAACTTTAAGTTTCTTAAATTATTACATTTAAAATTTCATTAAATTTAAAATTATTAAATTTTTTATTTAAAATTTATATAAATTTATTTATTAAATTTAATTTTATTAAACTTAAAAGTTTAATAATTAACTCCACTTATTGTCGAGTTAATTATTAAAGATTTTAATTTTAAATTTAAAAAATTAAATTTAAATTTATTAAATTTAATACATTTATTAAGTTTAAAAATTTATTAAATTGTTACATTTAAAATGGTTTAAATCTAGTTTATTAAATTTATTAAATTTATTTTTATTTAAAATTTATATAAATTTATAAATTTATTTATTTATTTATTTATTAAATTTAATTTTAAAATTTAAAAATTTAATAATTAACTCCACTTATTGTGAGCGGGGGAGCAAAGACCACAGTTCTTGGTGTTGGGGTGAACCCAGCTTTTGGGGTTTTCTGTCCAAAAGTGGTGGAAGTTCTTCCCCTGCAGCCTCCGTGCTCTTGCAGCAGGGAACACACCTGTGGAAGAACTGAAAATCAGGGATTTGTCACCAAAAACCTGCTGGCTTCACTGGCTTCACTGGCCAGGCCTGTTTCACCTTGGGGGGAATAGGAAATCCCATCAGGGATGGTCTGAGCTTGGATCCACCCCTGGGGAGCGGGAAACCACCTCAGGTGTCTCCAGGTGCCACTCCAGGGGCTGAAGCCTTTCCAGCATCATCATCCTCCTCTGGCTGCCTCCTTCAGATCCCCCCTCAGCTCAGATTTCGTTTGGGAGCTCTGGGGGATGAGGAATCTCTGTTCCCGTGGGAATTGTGCCTTTTGGGAGAGGCTGCTGCTGTCCAGACACCATCCTTTACAGTTTTAAATTGTTTTTGTTTGTTTGGAGCCTTCTGTGAGCCCCAGGGATGTGCAAGCATTTCTGAGGGAGAGCACAGCAATCTGCAGCTCTCAGGAGCCTTTTCCTCCTCCTGAGCCAGCTCTGGAACTCCCTCTTGGAGAGGCACGTTCCCATGGAATTCCCTGTTTGCTGCCTGTCCTTGGTCCTCCCCCCTTCCCAAACCAGTCTGGAATCAGGGAAAGGGAGCTTAAACCTCATGGGATGGGATTTTAAACCTCCTGGAATCATGGAATGGGGTCTTGAACCTCATGGGATGTGATCTTAAACCTCATGGGATGGGATCTTAAACCTCATGGAATCATGGAATGGGGTCTTAAACTTCATAAAATAATGGAATGGGATCTTAAACCTCATGGAATGGGATCTTAAACCTCATGGAACCATGGAATGGGGTCTTAAACCTCATGGAATCATAGAATGGGATCTTAAACCTCATGGAACCATGGAATGGGATCTTAAACTTCATAAAATAATGGAATGGGATCTTAAACCTCATGGAATGGGATCTTAAACCTCATGGAATCATGGAATGGGATCTTGAACCTCATGGGATGGGATCTTACACCTCATGGAATGGGATCTTAAACCTCATGGAATCATGGAATGGGGTCTTAAACCTCATGGAATCACAGAATGGGATCTTAAACCTCATAAAATAATGGGATGGGATCTTAAACCTCATGGAACCATGGAATGGGATCTTAAACCTCATAAAATACTGCCATGGGATCTTAAACCTCATAAAATAATGGAATGGGATCTTAAACCTCATGGAACCATGGAATGGGGTCTTAAACCTCATGGAATCATGGAATGGGGTCTTAAACCTCATGGAATCATGGAATGTGATTTTAAACCTCATAAAATAATGGGATGGGATCCTAAACCTCATGGAATGGGATCCTAAACCTCATGGAATGGGATTTTAACCCCAGCCCCAGCACCGCCCCCATCCCAGGCTGCCCCAGCCCCAGCCCAGCCTGGCTGGACATGCCAGGGACCAGGGGCAGGGCCGTGTGCAGGGAGCTGTTCCTGCTCACATCCCGGAGTTCTTTTGGCCCTTTTCAGGTTGATTTTGCTGCTTTTCTCTCAGTTTTCCATCCCTCTCCTGTTTAAATCTGTTGTGTTCCCGCTGGTTTATCCCAGACCTCGTGAGGAGCTTCCCTCACCCTATGGTCTCTGTTCAAGAGGCTGAAAAACCTTTCTTTTCTACCTAAAAAACTGCTTCTTGCTAAAATTTCCCTTTTTTTCATTCCCAAAAATCCGCCTCTTTCTGGAAAAACCTTTTCTCCCTTCCCAAAAAATGCCTCTTGCTGAAAAACCTCCTTTTTTTCCTTCCCAAAATCTTCCTCTTGCTGAAAAATCCCTTTATTTTTTTCCAAAAAAACTTCCTCTTGGTGTAAAACCCCTTTTTTCCTTCCCAAAATCTTCCTTTTGCTGAAAAACTCCTTTTTTCTCCTAAAAATCTTTCTGAAACCTCATTTTTTCCTTCCCAAAGTCTTTTTCTTGCTGGAAAATCCTTTTTTCCTTCCCAAAAAACTTCCTCTTGCAGAAAACCCCTTATTTTTTCCCTCAGGCTCTTTCTGAAACCTCATATTTTTCTTCCCAAAAAATTGCCTCTTGCTGGAAAATCTGCTTTTTTCCTTCCCAAAATCTCCCTCTTGCTGGAAAAATCCCTTTTTTTTTTCCCAAAAAACTGCCTCTTGGTATAAAACCCCTTTTTTCCTTCCCAAAATCTTCCTCTTGTAGAAAACAAAAACCCCTTTTTTATCTTTGAGCTCTTGCTAAAACCTAATTGTTTTCTTAAAAAAAAACCTGCTTCTTGCTAAAAAAACCCTTTTTCTTCCCAAAATCTTCCTCTTGCTGGAAAATCCCTTTTTTTCTTCCCAAAATCTTCCTCTTGCTGGAAAAATCCCTTTTTTTTCCCAAAAAACTGCCTCTTGCAGAAAATCCCTTTTTTTTTTCCTCAAGCTCTTGCTCAAACCTCATCTTTTTCTACCCCAAAAACTGCTTCTTGCTGGAAAATCTCTTTTTTCTTTCCCAAAAAACTGCCTGTTGCTGGAAAAACTCTTTTCCCCTCCCAAAAAATCTTCTTCTTGTTGAAAAACCCCTTTTTTCTCCTCAAGATCTTGCTGAAAGCTCCTTTTTTCCTTCCCAAAGTCTTTTTCTTGCTGGAAAATCCCTTTTTTTCTTCCCAAAGTCTTCCTCTTGTAGAAAACACCCTTTTTTTATCTTCGAGCTCTTGCTGAAACTTCATTTATTTCCTTCCCAAAATCTTCCTCTTGCTGGAAAAATCCCTTTATTTCTTTCCAAAAAGCTGCCTCTTGGTGTAAAGCCTCTTTTTATCTTCCCAAAATCTTCCTCTTGCTGGAAAACCCCATTTTTCTCCTCAAGCTCTTGCTGAAACCTCATTTATTTTTCTTCCCATAGTCTTCCTCTTGCTGGAAAATCCCTTTTTTTGTTCCCAAAATCTTCCTCTTGTAGAAAAACTGGTTTTTTTCTCCTCAAGATCTTGCTGAAACCTCATATTTTTCTTCCCAAAAAATTGCCTCTTGCTGGAAAATCTGCTTTTTTCCTTCCCAAAATCTCCCTCTTGCTGGAAAAATCCCCTTTTTTTTTCCCCAAAAAACTGCCTCTTGGTGTAAAACCCCTTTTTTCCTTCCCAAAATCTTCCTCTTGTAGAAAACCCCTTTTTCATCTTTGAGCTCTTGCTAAAACCTAATTGTTTTCTTAAAAAAACCCCTGCTTCTTGCTAAAAAAACCCTTTTTCTTCCCAAAATCTTCCTCTTGCTGGAAAAAATCCCTTTTTTTCTTCCCAAAATCTTCCTCTTGCAGAAAAACTGGTTTTTTTCTCCTCAAGATCTTGCTGAAACCTCATTTATTTTTCTTCCCATAGTCTTCCTCTTGCTGGAAAATCCCTTTTTGTCTTCCCAAAATTTTCCTCTTGCAGAAAACCCCTTATTTCCCTCAAGATCTTGCTGAAACCTCATATTTTTCTTCCCAAAAAAACTGCCTCTTGCTGGAAAATCTGCTTTTTTCCATCCCAAAATCTCCCTCTTGCTGGAAAAATCCCTTTTTTCCTTCCCAAAATCTTCCTCTTGCTGAAAAACTCCATTTTTCTCCTCGGGCTCTTGCTGAAAATCCCCATTTTTCCCCTAAAAATCTCCTCTTGCTGCAAACAAGGGTTGGGCTGGATCAAATCCCTGGTGGAGCAGAGCTGAGGAAAAGCTGGGGAGCCCCAAGGAAAGTTCTGGAACTCGGGAGAGCTCCCAGGAGGCTGCAGGGAAGGGGTTTTTGCCTTTATTTCCCATTTCTGGTGCCCCAGCCCAGCTTATCTGGGAGAGCCAGGCCTGGGTGAGGCTCCTGCTTATCTCTGCTTGGGGCCCTGCTGATAACAGCTGCCCTGGGAGGGGTGGAAATGGGAATTATCCCTCTCCCGAGCTCTGGAAAATATTTATTAATAATAGAGAATAAGTTACATCTGGAAATCTCTGATTTTTAGAGACTGGGAGCACTGGAAGTGATGGAAATGAGAATTATCCCACTCCTGAGCTCTGGGTAATAATTATAATTAATAGGGAAGGAGTTTCCTGTGGAAATCTCTGATTTTTAGAGACTGGGAGCACTGGGAGTGATGGAAATGAGAATTATCCCACTCCTGAGCTGTGGAAAATAATTATAATTAATAGGGAAGGAGTTTCCTGTGGAAATCTCTGATTTTTAGAGACTGGGAGCACTGGGAGTGATGGAAATTAAA